ATATTTCCAAGTAGTTCTGTATTCCCTCTCTGTTTCATTGCCACGCCTCTTTGTTTCCTGTGAGTAGCATCAGTATGCAGACAGCACCATCACTCCTCCAGGGCTCCACTGCCACGCTGCCACAGCTGTACTCAGCAGCTTTGACAGGTTTCTGGTTTGGTTGTAAAGTGATCTTGAAAATCACCACAAAACGGATTGGTTGTTCACCGAAAAACTCAGTACTCAAAATAAAGTCCTATCTAGAATTGTGATTTAGTGTAATGCATAACAATGATGGATATTCAAGTTAAAGTAAAAACTAAGTGGTAAGAAGAACAGTAGTATGATGACAACGTTATCAGGCGTACACCCCACGTCTACACCGTTCATGTGTCACAGAAGTACCCCTAGTCCTTAAATTTTAAAGAAAATACAACAAAACTTCTGCAAGACGCTGTTTAATATTTCCATCCGTGTCTCTTGATAAAAAAAAAGAGTCTATTTTTCTGAGAAATTAGTGTTTGGGTGAAATCTGGTGAAATTATGACCACGGTCAGAATGACACTCATATTGTATAGAGCTCAAAGTGTTCTAGGAAGGTGGTGTAGCGGCGGCCCTGACGCTCTGTGTAACACTAAATAGTTCAGTAAGGATCAACAGGTAGCCCGGCCAGGAATATATGGCGTCCTTCATCACCGAGATAGAGGGCAACGATTCTTAGAGGTGCATACGTTTAATTTCTTGTAATTCATTACGTCGGGGAGCATCTAACTATCTCTCTAAAGCTCCGACACAAAGGTTACAACCAAAAACAACCTCTGAACCATTGCCACAACTAGATATCTTCTCACGTGCCTTGCGAGGAAAATAATAACATACGAAACTTTGAAAATCATGAGGACCCAGACCCAGGCAGTGATGGAGGGGCGGCCGTTGGTGTTATCAAGACAGTCATGACCTCAGCACCGCGTCTCACCACTTGATTGCCAAGCTTTTGTTACGGCAACGTACGAGTGGTGGTGAATGTGTTGACAGCTGCTCCCGCCTACCACACACCGCACCAGTTTCCTTTGACATAATGTCAACTCAAATATTCAAATGTCTTAACTTGTTTCTTGTATTTGTTTTGTTGTTAATTTAATGATATACGTATATAGTCTCTTCTTGAAATGTATTTAAATACCCCAATTTACTTCAATAATTAATTGTAATATTGTATTGAATGTGGGATTATTTATACATTTCTTGGGGTTCTTTTTAATAACCGAACTGCCCTTACCGGTCTTAATAACAATACGTTGATAGTGTACAGTTGGAAACGTTCTTTAAAATTTTATAAAACGCTTGAATAATATACCAAATTGAGATACTAATTATGCCATATGCTCGTGTCATACGGTTTATGTAAATGAGTGTCTATGTGAGCCTGCGGGTGGCTTGCCAGCTGAGTTAGGTCAGGTCAGGTCAGGTCAGATTGTTATGTTAGGTTAAGTTGGGCTAAGTTAGATCAACTTAACTTAGGTTACCTGAGCTCAAGTTGGTTAGGTTAGGTTAGGTTAGGTTAGGTTAGGTTAGGGTGAAGTAGAAACAAAAGTAACAATGAAGTTTAAATACTACTTTTTTATTACAGCATTCCTACTGTGTTGCCTTCAAGTCCTAGGCGTTATACTAGGTAAACTGTGGTTATATAGCGTGACGACATGACCGCTTACACAACACCGGTTAATATAGTTTACCTACCTACTGAAATATATTCAATTTTAGTAGGAAGGGGCCACTGAGCTCTGGTACATTGTCTTGGTCATATGCTTATTTTCGGTGTGCCAGACAGCAATTGATGCCATCTGTGATTTTTACTCCATATATTACCGGAGGAACAGTTGTTAAATGCGTCTTTGGTAAGGAATTGGTTTTATGTCGTGCCATTTTAATAAAATACGTATAAAGTGAACTTAGTGGTGAACATATGACACAAAACAAGTTATGCTTCGTATGTTAATGACCTTGGTAGGCGAACCGTTAGTATAACAACACAAGTACACCCAAGACACAGACAGATACACCCAAGACACAGAGACATACACCCAAGACACAGAGACATACACCCAAGACACAGAGACATACACCCAAGACACAGACATACACCCAAGACACAGACATACACCCAAGACACAGACATACACCCAAGACAGAGACATACACCCATGACACAGACATACACCCATGACACAGACATACACCCATGACACAGACATACGCCCAAGACACAGACAGATACACCCAAGACACAGACAGATACACCCAAGACACAGACAGATACACCCAAGACACAGACAGATACACCCAAGACACAGACATACATCAAGACACAGACTATGCACACCCAAGACACAGACATACACCCAAGACAGAGACGCCACCCATGACACAGACATACGCCCAAGACACAGACAGATACACCCAAGACAAGACATACATCCAAGACAGAGACATACACCCAAGACACAGACATACATCCAAGACACAGACATACAGCCAAGACACAGACATACATCCAAGACACAGACATACATCCAAGACACAGACATACACCCAAGACACTGACATACACCCAAGACACTGACATACACCCAAGACACTGACATACACCCAAGACACAGAGACATACACCCAAGACACAGAGACATACACCCAAGACACAGAGACATACATCCAAGACACAGAGACATACATCCAAGACACAGGTACACCCAAGACACATTTTGAACCATGACACGAAAACCTTACTACTGTGACAATGTTGTTGATGTACTGTAGATCACTGTTTAGCCAAGGTAACTGATCCCGTTCACTTTAACGAACTGACAACAAAAACAAATGAATATCGGAGAACAATAGACACGTATCACTGAAATAAACATACTGTACATGTTTGGTTGACTCGTGGTCTTAATAATGGTTCGTTATCTATAGTATTTTCAATTAAATATTTCTTTTAACATACAACAGAATTTGGCGTTACTAAGAAAAAAAAAAAATTTATACTTCAGCCAAACTTGGACTCGTATCACTAACTGGTTCGTTCCTGCTACAATTAGGCGTAATATGGTTAAGGTTTTTGTAAATTCGTTAAAATGTCTATGGCGTCGAGACCAAGGCCTACCTGTTACTTTTTTTTAAATTCGAAGGTGTTTTGTCCTTGTCCCGTCACCACCAGATTTATATTTATACATTATTGCAAACGATTTATTGACAATCCCGAAAAGAAAATCGCATTACTATGGGTGTGAACAAAGAGACACCATTACCCTAAACCTTAACACGTGACGGTGATCAAGTCTAAGAAGCGTCTTGTATTGGTGTTGATGACAAACTGTTATTTCCTTATATCACTTCACTTTTCCTCAGCGATCGACGTAAAGACTCGCACCTGATACTTGCAGTTCACTTTAAAAGTTAAAAATTCTGTGTAGAGGAACCAATCAGAAATGTGAAAAATGTTCATACAAAATTTTCCACATTGTGATTGGTTATTACCGGTCATGCCGAGGCGCGGTACATTCTCCCGTATTTATTTTTATATCTGATACTTTATCATAAGTTCAACTATAAATATACCACACATAAAAGTAAATATATTACGTTAACCTTTTCACGATAAAATTGAGTGTTTACTGAGTTCAGATTTATATATTAGTCTTGACTCGTGTAAGTTTTGTTAACAATACACAAGATGGTTTACTTCACCACGCTGATTATTGTTACAACTTAATGGAATTAATATGAATCATATATAAGGCCTACTCTGTTTTATTTAAGAGGTTGTTTACCATCACAAGACAACCGAATTGTATCTCAAGTATGTTAGGTTAGGTTAGGTTTTCTATTAAAGTATTCACTTGTATGTATGATGATCTATATGATCGTATACGGCCAGTTAAAAAGAAAAACATACATAAAACTTGTCGCAATTAGGAAATTAACCCTATTTCGTGTAAGCGACACACACACACACACACACACACACACACACACACACACACAGAATAGACTGAGTAAGGTTAATTTAATTTGTTAATGTTAAGTTGGTAATGTTAGGTTGTTTCTCTTTGTTTGAGTTAATAATAATTGTATAATTTTGATGCGTCCAACTTTTCCAAACTCGTAAACAGGAAAGACTCGGGTTCATATGACAGAAGCCGGTCACAGTGTATAGCCAAAGTAGGTATACACATTAAGAGGCTGAAGAATCACATTATACACTTCCTGTAGCCTCCCCCAAAAAGTAACTTGGAGAAAAGACAATTATTAACAAACATTACATTAAATATATATTAGGTACATCATTTTAACTTGTTTAGTGGTTGGGAGTCGTGTTTGGGGTGAACTGTATGGGTCACAACTATCTGCAACGTCTAGTATATTTCTATAATTATATTTCTTCCTGTAGTCCTCATGCATGTGGTTGATGTCAACAAACAACACAAAGTCTGCTGATGGAGAAAGTCGAGAATTTCTTGACTGATCTAACCTTTTATGCGCTGAACTAAAAGCTGGAAAACCAGTTTTTGATAGCCAACCTTCGAACACACACACACACACACACACACACACACACACACACACACACACATGGCTTTGATGGCATTGTGACGTCACGATTTTGATGGCATCGTCACTTCATGACATCATGTGACTGTCCTTTTAATACCCTCGTCGGGCCCCAGCCCTTCGGCTCACAGTGAGTGATCAAGGAGCCTGACCCACAAGAGAGTAGCTAAGGTGGGGTAGATTTTAGCCTAGCGTTTTTCAGTGGACGAGTTTCCTGCCTGTCATTCGTGGTGGTCCGGGTTTGATACCCGGCACTATTGACTTGCCTGTGTACAGGTGTTATAGTTTCTTATATAATTTACGAAGCAGCTTAATGTATATAGATGACAGAATATACTGCGTGTAAAACTTAGACAGAATTTATCAAGTGGTTATTACACAAGTGATGTAAGGAGGGAGGGAGGACTTACCCGTTCTGGCGCGCCGACCACTTGGCTTGTGAGCAGGAGTCAGACCCAGCACACTCCTCCTGCTTCCTCCGCCTCTCCTTCTTGTTTTTCCTCAGGTTCTGCAGTTTCCTCGGGTATTCAGTGAAGTGGATGCAACACTCGCCTCGGAACCTCATCTTCACGCCTGTGGGTTTAAAGATAAGTTGTGTGTCAACCTCAAGTAAAAGAATGACGGGAAGGATCTGGTATTTAGTGGGGTTAATACAACATATTTGTGTATTTGTGTATCAAATGTGCTGTAAGTTCCTTTTGAACTTTATAATTATCGTTATTTGACGCAATGCCGCCAACCACTGAATGACCTGCCACCTCTTCTGCCGTCTTGAAGACAATGAATTTATCTATCATTTTAATATTTCCTGCCCTCACGATTCAAGAATATATACAGTACACTAGAATGAACTTGCACAATATGAAAACTTTATTATCTTATGTAATGTCTAAGAACTATACCCTTTCCACACTACCCTGGCCCATAGACCCCGCCCCTCTTCTATACTAATAGCTCATTGGTTCATAGAAAACTCAAACTAAATGTGTTCACAATTGGTAAGCAGACCTGTTATTATCTAAAATAATATTAAATATGAGGATTATCAAAATGCAAATCATTTCAAGACATTAGCACTTCAGAGAGGATGTAAGAAAATTTTTAATATTTATTATAAAAGGTCGATATAAATACGGGCTTATACAGTATGTGCACAGTCCGAGGGGAGGCAAAACGCTCAGGGGAAACAAACAGCAATTTGTAGCTATAGACGAGGGGCCAGGTTAGCGTGGAAATACTATAGTTGAGTTACCCGACTTAGCCCAGGTGGAGGGACTGGATAGTGCGCGACTATTCCCTACTGCAGTACAGGTATATCTTCAAAACTGTGACCCAACCTGCAGGTGGGGATTCTTGGAGGGCCACGAGATAGTGCAAGGCCATTCGCACGTCCCTGCCAAATTATAGCTCTATCTCAAAACACACACACACACACACACACACACACACACACACACACACACACACACACTGCATTATTATACTATACTGTATATAGATAAATGCGCTTCAACGCCTATATTAAGGTCTTTAAGCGCGTTCATTAGTTCCGTAATTATAAAACATTAATCTCTGGTTGCCTTGACGTCATAATGTTATTACTGTGCTTTAACAACTAAAATCTTCAAGTAGGCAAAGTTAGTAATTACACTAGTCCAATAACAATTAAAGAATATGATATACAGCCGGTATATTATACAGTATAAACCTCAGCGACTGAAGACTGTACTGTAACTAACCTCAAGTGTTGAAGGGAAGAAGACGTAAGACCTATACTATACCAGGCAAACACAACGGGAGACACACACCTCCCAGCAGTAACTAACCAGACAAGATGGTCAGCCTTTCGTCACCTAACTGTTGGTGACGTATAGGTGATGATGAGCTTCACCATAAAGTGTACAGTACAGTACAGCACAGCACAGCACAGTACAGTATAGCACAGCACAGCACAGTACAGCACAGTACAGTACAGTACAGTATAGCACAGTACAGTACACACATAACGAACACTTAACTAAGGTAACACATAACTAACACTGTTAACTAAGGTAACACACATAACTAACTATAAACGCCTTGGTAATAAGGACGTTCAGGTGACGGGCAATTCAAAGGGAATGATTGAAACTCGCCTGTTGACGCATTCAATATTTATTGATGTGGTCAAAACCTGCAGAGAACAAGGCGTTCATTAGTATTACATGGTGATCTATCTGATACATAATTAGTTAGTCTCACACAATTTGTCTTAATTATAATTGTTTCTTGAGCATAGTGACATGATACAAAGTTCATAACTCTATTAATCTTAGCTTTGCTTCATTCTGCATTGTCTTATTACTCCAAGTTAGGCAGAAACGAGTAGACGTAATTAGTCAACAATATTTCAGTACCGAGGGGAATGTCTTCACTTATGCTGTACTTACAAGTGCGGGTCAATGCAGATCAGTATGGTGTTCCAAGAGACAACAGTACTGTGTAAATTGTCTCGGCACAAATTCTTGGACAGGATTGTGTGGTGTTTATCAGTGCGAGCAGGAGGCTGCCCCTTACAGCATCACTCGAGGGCTGGTCCTCACAGCATCACTGGAGTGAGCGATCTCCTCCAGTCAAGGCAGCCACGCTACCCTTTTAAGCCATTCATTTTAGCGGAATCAGGACCTCTTCTCCGTAAACACTGCACTCATATGCCAATACTCACTCGTCAGTACTGACACCAGCGGTGATAACACTCCCGGGTGCCAGGCGTCAACACCGCTTGGCGCATCTGGCGAAGTCACAGGTCGCGTGGGGGAGAGCGATCTGTGTCATGAGAGCCACGTCACCCTTTGCATTCAGCAGAATCAGAACTCTCTATCCGTAAACACCGCCCGCCCCTCCTAGCGCCGCATCTCACGAGGCAACAGGCCGTGTGGGTGGTGGGGGTGAGAGCTCCAATGATTGTTCGAGGTGGGCAGCGATCGTCAACAACTGACACCAGCAATTATAAGCCAGCGGCGATAACACTGTTAACTAAGACAGTATACAACACCTGGTGACGACGTAGGTAAACAAGAAGCCTCGGTACAAGGAACACAGGATGTTATACCGATATCTGTAATAATCAACGTGAACTCATTCATTGTTCTCAGGTATAACGATCACGTAATCAAAGTCAGTGTATCGCAACAACAGAATAAAAGATAAATCGACTTGGACACATGAAGATAACACTGAAGTAATGGTCTTGGCCAACCATACATGGGCAGCAACATGACCATTGTATTCTGGGGTGATGCGTCAGGTTATAGAGGAGTGTCTTCCATGTTCCAAAGCTGTCTAGTTAAGTTAATGACACTTGTGTAACAACAACAGCCTCATCAAATCAGACCATGCCATCATCCCCGAACTTCTAAAGGGTCTCTGGGTCATAATTTTCAACCTGCCATGTTGTGTAATCTGTTGAGTCAAGTGAACCATTTTGATTTAATAGTATAATGTGGTATTAAAACATACAGGATCGAGGTTATAAGGGATATGAACGTATAGAGAACCAATCAGCATGTCCGGTAAATCAGTCAGAGGTCGTCTTCACAGTGTTCAGGGTTATCAATGGAGCCCGTTATAGGTCGCCCCCATTTGCCGCTATGGGTGTGTGTGTGTGTGTGTGTGTGTGTGTGTGTGTGTGTGTGTGTGTGTCAATGAAAGCAATGAATAATAAGTTATCATATATATTGTCTCATACAAAATTGTAAAGATACTTTTTGGAGCGAATATGCGTACACCCTTACATATTTAGTTGTGGCTCTGTACGGCTGTATCGTTCCTGAACCATCGAATACGTATAATAATACACTATTATACATGCATGCATACATTATTAAACGATACATTCCTTCTTAACTACCTAACCCTAAAACTACACGGTGGCAGTAAAGGCGGTTGAGTGCAGTGGCGGTACTCTTCTGTAGTATAGTAAGGAAGGTTTGGTGAACAGCGCTTAAGACTTAGATAATGGAGCATCTAAATAATTTAAAACAACTACAATTAACAATGACATTAAAACAAACAAACAAACAATAAAACACGACCAAAAATTCCAATTAAACTTATAATTCACTTAAAATATATTAAAGATCTTTCAACTAGGAACCATCATGTATGACCCTTAAGACTTTCAACGAAGAAACATTAACCAGGTCGTCGTCCCAGATACAATATTCATGTCCCCTGCATGTTACGCGTGTATGAGAGATTACAGATCTTCAATTATTTCACTGTTAGTTCATTATGGCCGGAGTGGTGCAGCTGTAACACGTTGGGGTAAAAACCAACTTGAAGCGGGTCAAAAAACAGCTTCACTCAACACCAGTAAGGATGTAATGTACCACAATTATATCTGAATTGTCGTATTTAAACAAGTGGTAACATACAGGTCCCCTCCAATGGGACAATAGAGGCAGTGGTGCAGGAGGCAGAGCCGAATTAACAGCATCGGGGGCCCCTAGGTACTAAGACTTTAGGGGCCCCCCTTTAAACTTTGTTTCTCAAAAAGTAATTACATATTTGAAGATAAATAAAATATCAAACAGGTTAAATTTTAGGCTTAACTATTAATTTTTTTAAATTTACATTTTGTTCTCAATTGTTTTATTACAAATGGTGGAATTATCATGGGACAAAGAGTACAAAAAATCTGAAATTCGATTGAAAAATAAATAAAAATTACAGGGTAGAGAATTTATTTACATGCGAAACCAGACATGAGGTAATATGTACATAACAGTAACATTCTATTAGTTTTTTTTTGGTAATTATAATGGTAATATATCACAATTTTGGGGTTGTAAAAGAAATAGAAGTGAAAATAATAGATAATAGTCTATTACTTTTCAATAACAGATATGTTTCTTGAGTTATTAGGTGTTCAGAAATTTCCTCACAATTAAAACATTTTTATTGCCAGTCAGTAGTTTTCTCCGAGGAAAAATAACAAAACCGCCTTAAAATATTTACTATATGTTAGACTTTGGCAAAGCTTTTCGCGATTTCACGTTTCTTCAAGTCGCCACATTTTTCGTGAACAAAATTAATAGATGACTGAGTAATAGTAATAGATTAGAATATTACAGACTGGATAATGGCCACTGAGCCCATCTGGTTAAGTCTGTTATCCTGGAGCTACACTAGATTTAACTACGCCTGAGCTCATCCTAGATACATATACCGTATAGAGAAGTGGAAAAAACTAAAAATAATACTACACTTCTATTTGTCGCCAATAAGAGAAAAATACTTACCTGGTTTCACTTTAAACTGACCTAATGATTCACTTTTGACTATATCTACTGGGAGTTTATTTATTTTACGAGTAAAGAACAACTATGTGCCAAGATCGTTTAAATGCATGAGAATATTACAGACTGAAAGATGACTGTAATAGTAATAGACGGTAGCGAAGGAAAAAACAAGAGTATTTGTAATAGAAACGTTGTAATAGGCCCCATGTTTGTTACAAACATTTACATTTTTTACATTATAGCTCACATTTTCACCTTTATCACTTTTGAGGCAGCAAACTTTCTGATCAG